TTTTGATACCAGTTGTTGAGCTTCTGTATGTGTAAGATACATTTATGTTATGAAAGCAAGAGACTTAGGGCTTGTCTACACCCAGCCGCTAGTTCGGCGGCTGAGGATCGAAGTTCCGAGTTCGATTTATCGCGTCTGGTCTGGACGCGATAAATCGAACCAGGAAGTGCTCGCCGTCGACTGCGGTACTCCAGCTATACGAGAGGAGTACCGCGGAGTCGACGGGGAGCCTGACCGCCGCGTGTGGACCGCGTCTGAACCGCGGTAAGTTCGAAGTAAGGTATGTCGAATTCAGCTACGTTATTCACGTAGCTGAATTTGCGTACCTTACTTCGACTTGGGGGGTAAGTGTAGACCAAGCCTTAGACTTAAGCATTTTAAAAATCTGATTATAACTTAGTTTCATTGTCCACACAGGCTGGATCATACTTGCTAATAACATGTTTCGGCCACAGTTGAGCATAAGAGTTGTTATAAATAACCTGCAAGGCGGGGAGGCTGGTGCCTTTTCTTGCTACTTTATGATGGATAATCAAGGCCTGAAAAGTTTTTAATTTAATAACAACAAAAAACCACTTCCCCCACTCCTCTCCTTTTTTATCATTAGGAATAAAATTCTGTCCAGCCTTGAGGGAATTACAATGACATAATTGGAGAACTCAAAGTGGTGACATCACAAGAGCCAAGAGCATGAAGGATCTGAGGGGAAAGGGACTTTTACTTAGGTTGTCTAAGGCTTGGTCTACACTTACCCCCCAAGTCGAAGTAAGGTACGCAAATTCAGCTACGTGAATAACGTAGCTGAATTCGACATACCTTACTTCGAACTTACCGCGGTTCAGACGCGGTCCACACGCGGCGGTCAGGCTCCCCGTCGACTCCGCGGTACTCCTCTCGTATAGCTGGAGTACCGCAGTCGACGGCAAGCACTTCCTGGTTCGATTTATCGCGTCCAGACCAGACGCGATAAATCGAACTCGGAACTTCGATCCCCAGCCGCCGAACTAGCGGCTGGGTGTAGACAAGCCCTAAGAGTGTGTCTACACTGCAAAGAAAACCCATGGCCGGCCCATGCCAGTCAACTCAGGCTCGTGGGGCTTGGGCTCTGGGGCTGCTTCACTGCTGTGTAGATGTCCGGGTTTGGTCTGGAGCCCGGGCTCTAAAACTGAGAGGTAAGGGGGGTGTTGAAGTACAGAAGTCTACACAGCAATGAAACAATCCTGCAGCCTAAGCCCCATGATCCCAAGTCAGCGGGCACGGGCCAGCCATGGGTGTCTAGTTGCTGTGTAGACATATCCTAAAGGGATGTCTTCACTGCAGAGTTAGCTGAGGTGATCAGCACCTGTGTATGAGGACTCAGGTAAACATAGCCTGGTGTGAGCAGCCACACTGCAAAGCCGTACCCAAGTGAATGTGTCCTCAACAGTGTGTGTTGCTAGGACTTCTGGGGGCACATCCTATGTTTTTTTGTGCTACAGTAAATTGAACCTGTCTTTTTGATTCTTTTCCCAGTGAATTGTGGGAGAACTTTTCTGTCCTTCTGGGCATACCGGGGGAACTGGGGGAAGACATTAGAGGACTCTCAGCAATTGAGAGATTTAGCCTGTGTTCTCACTGCAAAGTGGCTGGGCTACCAGCCTGAGTGAAAGGAGCACCTGAGCTGTAGCTTATATCCTCACCAGTCAGGCCAGCTAGCCTGGGTTTAAAGCATCACTAAATTCAGGTGAGAGAGTTGTGTGGCTGGGAGGGAGGTTAAGGGCAGCACCCAAGGAAGAACCAAAGTTAACTGTGCAGTAAAGACATATCCTTAAAACTCTGGCTTTGTGTTTTTATTTAATTTCAGTGACTTACTTTATAATTTTGGGTAAGTCTTCGCTAAATATTCCACACCTTTGCTCTCCAGTCAAGATGTGAGAGCTCACACATATGTCCTTGAGTCTTCTCAGAGGCCCACTAGCGAAACCATCAGCATTTCAAAGGTAGAATATAAAGCAGGGGAAAAGGGAGAGAAAAGCCTTCTGGACTTTCCCCATATAGCATAAAAGAAGCAAAATTTATAAGTTCAATTTTTAACAATATTGCTCGTCACCTTTAAACTCAGTTGTCTTCTTAGGGAAGACAGGCCGTAACAGTGTCAAGCCATAGGAGTTGAAGGGATGGAATGTTTCGTGTTCATTACTGTCTTGATTTACTCTACATCTAGGGTTACCATCTTTCAGGTTCCCAAAAAGAGGACACTGCCAGAGAGAGGGGGGGAAGGGGGAGCTGGAGGAGAAGGTACAGTTGGAGGGGTGTCTACTGGGAGGTGGTATTTGGGCGGTATGGAAAGGGTGTTTGTATTGGGAGGGGCATTTATTCATAGATTCTAGGACTGGAAGGGACCTCGAGAGGTCATTGAGTCCAGTCCCCTGCCCGCATGGCAGGACCAAATACTGTCTAGACCATCCCTGATTTGGGGGGTGCTGGAGGGGTGTGTGTACTGGAGGGGATATTTGGAGGTGCAGGAGGGGGTATTTGGGGGTGCTGGAGGGGTCTGTGTATTGGAAGGGGGTTTGGAGGGTACAGGAGTGGGTATTTGGGGTGTGGAAGGGTATGGGTACTGGGAGGGAGTATTTGGGGGGGCATTGGGGATGCAGGAGGGGATGTGTACTGGGAGGGGTACTTGCAGCCTCACTCTCGATGTGGGGGGCAGTGGCGCTCCCTGTCACAGAGGCAGGGCGACTGGTGCAGGCCTGGGACACAGCTCCAGTTGTCCATCAGTGCCTCCTTGCCTCTTCCCCTTTCCAGGGCTGGGAGCCAGGGCTTCGGTGGGTGGGAGCGGGAGCAGGCAGCTGCAGTGCAGGGACCAATCCGGATGTGGAGCCAGCTCTTTCTGAGCTGCAATGTCTGCTCCGCAAAAATCCCAGACATTTCCTCTTATTTGAAAAATCTGTCCAGACAGAGGGCGGAGGATCAAAAAAGAGGAAATGTCCAGGAAAACCCGGATGTATGGTAACCCTATCTACATCTCTTTTTTTAGAATTGTTTCATCTGTGTAGTCCAAAATGGGATTAAAGGGGATGTGACCCAGTTTCAAATCACAGGGGTTCATAAAATTATACTTGGTAGTTTGGGACGAGTCTGGTTGGAGGGGATGAACAGGGAAGAGAGGTGACTTATCTAAAGCACTTTAACTAAAACAGCCAAGCCAAAGCCCTTTGAAGCCATGTCTACACTTGGGGGAAGGTGTATTTTTAATGTGTTAGCTAAAACATGTTAACTAACACATGTTAAGACTACAATTTGCCTGGTCTATACTAGGATTTTAACGGGTTAGCTGGTCAAGAATAAAACTCTAAGGGGTGTTAGCCAACACCTTAAAAACACACTTTTCCTAGTGAAGACAGGCCTTAGTTTGGCCCAGCTCTGATGTCCTTCAGCACTTGATCTCAAAAAGGTTGGTGATTCTTCTGAAGTGGTTTAGAAAAATTGTTCTCACTTTCCCCACTTGCTTCCTTGTCTTCTCTAATAGAGTCTGAGTCATAGAGTCCCAGAAGGGACCACCAGATCATCTAGTCTTACCTCCTGTATATTACTAAACCCCACCCAGTTATCCCTATATTGAGCACAATAACCTGGATTAGAATAAAGTATTATAGACTAAAATACTGTGTGCCACAGGCAGAGAACAGGAGGGACTGAGTGCACTAAAGCCCCAGCAATGACGGAATTGATTTGTTGAGATATGCCGAGGTGATCCTAGCAAGTACCCAGCTGACCATGCTGCAGAGGAAAGTGAAAAATCCTCCAAGATCCCTGCCAATATGACCTTATGAAAAAATTCTTTCTGATCCCGAATATGGCAATCCGTTTGACTGAGCATCTGAAAGAGAATTCTCTTTTCCGTCTCAGAGCACAAGCTCATCCTGTCTGTTGTCCCATCTCCAGATGTGACCATCTCTGATGTTTTAAAGGAAGGGGGGGGAAACAACCCCCCTAGAATGCATTTGCGTGGGACAGATTCTTTCCTGACCGTGCAAGTAACTGGCTAAAGCTCTAAACATGAGATTTAGGGATATAAGACTCAGGACTGGAACTCCCTTGACCACTGAGTCTGGTCCCCCACCATCATAGGCAACTCTGTTATACAATCCCACCAATATTCTAGGTCATCCAAATTGTTCTTGTACAATATTCTGATCCTCCTGTATTGACAGTGCCTCCCAACTTTGTGTCATCAGCAAATTTCATTAACAGGCTCCCACTATTTGTAATAACCTCATTAATAAAACTGTTAAATAAGATCAGTCCCAAAACTGGCCCTTGAGGAACTCCACTAGTAACCACCCTCCAGCCCAATAGTTCTCCTTTAGGCACAACTTGTCTTTTACAATTCTTGTACTAATCCTCATCGGCTCCAATTTAACTAATTATATCCCATGTGAGACTGTATCAAAAGCTTTACTGAAGTCCGGATAGATTAGATCTACTGCATTTCTGTCTAAAAAATCAGGTCTTTTCAAAGAAAGATATCAAGTTAGTTTGGCATGATCTACCTTTGGTAAACCCATGTTGCATTTCATCCCATTTACATCCAGGTATTGAACTTATTCTTTCAGTTAGCTGCTTGGTGCAGTCCAGGGAAATAGCTTAGCAGACGTTGAAGATGTTGGCAAGGGGTTTTCCCTGACTTTTTATGTGATTTTCCTGCTCTGCTCACACAGTTTACCCAAGAAATATCTTGTGTACATTTTTGTTACTGTATCTAGTGTCAGGTCTGTAGATATTCAGGGTCTCTCTTCACCTTTTTAATTATAATAGTTATCCAGTTATTTTGATATCTGTGCATGTGAGAGGGAAAGTGACTTTTTGGATTTTGATCCTTACAACTTGGGGTAAGATAAAATACTTCCATGTGTAAAAACTCCTCACTTGATGCTCTGCTGATATGTCATCAAATGCTTATAGGATCCTAAGCAGGATGATGGCTCTAAGATTTTCATTTTTTTATTATTTCGCAGGTTTGTTTTAAATCAGACCTCGCAGCTTGATACAAATAAAACAGACAAAGGTAAGTAGAAAATCAGCTTATAAAAATGGTATGTAGCAAATCTTTGATCTGTTAATACCTACTTATAAATAGCCAGAAACACTGGTTTACGGAAATTGGAATAAGTTAATAAAGTGAATGTTTACTTGTTTGTAATAGCTTATTTTTCCTCTTCTGAGATCAAAAAAATGAAATTCTTGTGCTGTTTTGTGTTGACTGTGTATTTAACATTATGATGACAAATCTATCAAATGATCCATAGCCGAGAAAGTAACCTGCACTGTGCTAGCCGTGGAGAACCAAAACCAGTGAAGACTTCATTCATGTGAATTTCTATCCGCAAATTGTCCACATGATTATGAAAAGCTGACAATGTAGTTTGTTGTGCTACAGAAGTATTGTTTAGATTTGTATTTCAGATTTAATTCAGTTCATAGCTCTCTTAACTGGTACATAAATGTTCTGGTGGCCACTCAAATTTTCTAACGTTTTACAAAATGAAATACCAGAGGACATCAGGTTTACCTATATTCTTTGGTTTTCCTGTCCTCAGGAACTGTATCAGATGGCATGAGACTGACTGACAAGCTAGTAAAGACTTTACTATAAAGCATTGATATTCTTCAGAGTATTACATGGGCATTCTCAGGTAACTGCAAAATATATGTTCTCAAGGAGAATTTTTTTTTCCACTGCAGCATTGCCACAAAGGAACAATTCACAATAAAATTCCCTTGATCTGAAAATATTTATCTAAAGCTGGATTCTAGGCCTCTCTTTATTGCTTGACATTCTGTTTCTCCTTCTCTTCGATTCCTCCATTAAAGTTTAAGCAAATTTAACTTTGAAGAACAAATGATTCACAGTCAGATCTTTTTAAAACCTCTTTTGATGATCAGTTGGCATTCCTTTTTACATTTTTAGGTATGTAGGAATTTGCAATCAAAGGTGTCCTCACCGTCTTGCTAGAGTGCTGGGGGGGAATTAAGGGACCAAACCGGTGAGTGTCTAAGGCAGCGGGGTTGAGTATTAGGAGTTTGGCCAAGACTTGTGTTAGAGAAGCTTTTTTTCTAGGGCATGACCAGGGCCATTTGTATTCTGAAACGTGCTGGAATGAAATGCTGCTTCAGAGCAAACCCTTTCTGACTATGCAGCAAGTGGGAAATCCCATGGTAAAATAAAGCATGCAAACAGGTTGATTTTTTTTTTTTAAACTAAAGATAAATCCTGTGCCAAACAAGAGTCAAGTGTGCTGCATGATTTTGAACAAATTGATGTGGCTTGAGAGAAATTGGGGAGACAGAGAGCTTAAAAAAGACAGGGGAGACTGGTGTAGATAACACCACAGAAGACAGAGTACAAAAAAGTTTGGGTTGTATCAAGAATAATGTTTGTAGATATCTATGCTGTTCAAAAGATATCTGCATATATCGGTGACTTAAGAAACGGGTCACTGGTCAATAATAGCTAGGTTCCATTACCAAAAATTAGCCATGCACTCAGCTGTCCCTCATTATTAGGGACATCACTCCATTTTAGACCTAAATATACCTACAGTCTATAGAGATCAATTTGTTACAAACAGATTTATAAAGTCAAGATTATAGAAAATGTTCTCTGTGGTAATGAAATTAAATTTGAGCCTCTATAATTTTAAGCTCTCTGCATTACTACACCGCTGACCCGATATAACACGAATTCAGATATAACGCGGTAAAGCAGTGCTCCGGGGAGGCGGGGCTGCGCACTCCGGTGGATCAAAGCAAGTTCAATATAATGCGGTTTCACCTATAACGCAGTAAGATTTTTTGGCTCCCGAGGACAGCGTTATATCGAGGTAGAGGTGTACTTGGCCTACTTTTTGCATTACTACTTGGCCTACTAAAGCATGGCAGCTTTAGTTAAGGACCCATTTCTCAAGGAACTTTCTGTGCTTGAAACCTGGTCATGATGGCATTGTATGTACAGAAACTTCCTCACTTATCTGACTATTTAGGCTCTACATTCCTTTTTCTGCTCGCTGTTCAACTAACATGTAATCTTTGAACCAAATAATGGGTAGCTTGCTATTTTGGATGGGATGGGTTTACACATATTGAACTTGCTTTGTTTCTCTGATCTGTGATTAATATGTAGACCTAAAATGAGTTAAAATTGCTTTAAAAATAAATTGAAATGTACATTTTAAAATAGGCTTGAGCTGCTTTGTGTCTTCACCTCTTTTGTCCTAGGATTCTGAAAGAGCCACAGGTATGGACCTAACAGCACTGATTGTAGGAGAAGACTTCCTGGGAATTTGAAATGTCAATTTGTCTACTGGTGTAGGTTTGTGTACTGGAGTAGGTAACTCTGGGCTGAATAGTGTGATCTTCCGTTGTTTGGAGGAAACAGTATAAACAGATTTCAGAGTATCATGTTGATATTTAGCTAGAGAAGAATGTTTCCAATACCTTAGTGGCATGTATATGTTTAACACTGGAACTGATGACAATTTCAAGCTGGACTTTAAAAAGTGGAACAACCGGAACTCTGCAAAACTCTGCCCACAACGATTTTAATCTTTACCCCCCAGATTGAGTTTATAATAGAAGAACCATGAATGGGGAGACGATGTTTGTTGGGCCACGTATAGTGTATATTTAAGTCTTTTGGGCCCATTGTTACCTGTAATTTTCATGCCTGATAATGATTATCTTAACTGCTTTTTTCCTGATTTACAGGGTAGATACAGATACAGTGTATTAATAGCTTAAATGTGGGGGGAGATTTTTCTTTTCTTTTTGGATAGACTGGTGCAGCGATATTGCCAGGGCAGAGAGCACAATAAATAAATAAATCAAAGCACTCGGAATCCTCTCTGACTCCTAGCAAATTTGTTGAAAAGTCCGAAGTAGTGAGCTCTGACATTCACCTGCACTAGACAAAGTTATGCTTTCTGGATGAAAGCTTCCTGCAGGCCTGTAATCTTAGAGAAGGAAGGCATCTAGATTCCAGTGCCTTTTTTTTCTTTTTTTCAAGGTCATCTGAGTGATGATATCATTTGGCTTCAGAAAGCTATATGGTTGAATAATATCAGAATTTTATTTGAACACGCTTAACTGCATTAATCAGCTGTGATTGTGGGACACCTCACGTGGTCCGGGGAGAAGGAATGACATACATTAGGAAATTACATAAGAAATGTTAGCAGCTGGCCAAAAACATCTGGCCCAGATGCTCGTCTGCTTTGTTTGGCTTATTTTAATTTCACTCTACTTTTTTCACAATACTTCTCAAATCCCCCTCTTTTCTGTATTAGAATCACTTAGGTACTTAATATTTCCCTGTGTGTGTGCTTTTTTAATCTGAAATAGGGATTTTGGAGCCTTCTTTTCCTAGTATCCAAACTATTATAGATTGTCTCTAAGGCTTTGATCTCTATACCATTGTGAAAAATGTTCCCTCTCAACTTTACTACTCAGTTTCATATATTTGAAAACCTACTGGATCACCTCCAGATGTTTTTTTTTTATTAAAAATAAGTCCAAACGCTTTAATTTTTCTTCAGACTTATATTCTTGACAGCTGTTATCAGCTTCATTTTCTCTATTGTGCTCCCTCTCCAAGGCAACAATACCTTTCCTGTAGCATGGTGACCTATATTGCACATAGTACCTATGTCTCCCAACATCATTAAAACACTCCACAAAGTATTTTCACAACACCCAGTGAGGTAACTGTCTGTTATTTCATATGTAGGGAGGTTGTGCCCAAGGCTACGTAGCTAGTCAAAAGCAGAATTAAGCAGTAGCTCTTTGAGTGATTGTCCACATGGATTCTACTTCTGATGTGTGTACATCCAATGTGTAGGAGACTATAGTCTTTTTGGCCAGCAGTGTCTGTTGGGTCTGTGCCTGCACCTTGGATGTCCTTGTGTCCACCCACCTAATGGCATAAAAGGCAGAGCAGGTGCAGCCATCCCTTGGTTCTGTCTTACTGCCCGTTGCAGTAAGAGGAACCCCTGCAGTGTCCTCTTACTATTCATACTGTGTAATTATTTGTTAGGCTAGTTAATTATAATTTATAGGTGTTCCATAAAGACAAAGAGACTCTTAGGCATCATCTAAATCAGTTGTTTCACTTCCTGGTTTTCTTCCTTGAGCTCCACTCTAACTAGGGGAAAGCCAACCCACATATGCTGGGGCTCTGTCGTACTCCCTGAACAGGAAAAAAACATGCAAGAGCTCTCCCAGATTTGTTTGTAGCCTCTGCAGATAAGGTTACGTGTCAGGCCATATCCAATCAAAGGTTGTCTGTATGAGCATCCAACTGAATTAAATCCTGTTACGAGATAGCTAAATTAAATCCACTCATGCAGATTAGAACCCATTCCATCTGGGCTCTGTAACAGGCGTGGACTCACCCCTACTGGTTGCTTCGGGGAATCAGCTTGTCCAGCGTCTGGAGCACTCTCTGCAGGCCGGTGATCCGCCTTGTCCCTACTTCTGGCCCCTGTGTCCCTCCCAGGACCCAGTGCCCCTATTACTGGGATGCTGCCCCTTGGCAGTACCCCACAGATCTGGGTCTCCCCTCCCTGGGGAACCCCCACCCACTATCCCCACCTTGCCTCAGTACTAGGCCACTGCCAGTCAGCAACTAGCCCCCGCTCCCTGGGGCAGACTGCAGTATAGGCCACTCATCACTGGCAAGGGGGGTTTGGACCTGCTGCCTTGGCCTAGCCCTGGGCTGCCCTCTGCAACCCCCAGTACCCCTTGGCCTAATACTAGGCCACAGCCTGGGGCTTTCCAGGCTGGAGCTCCCCAGCTCCTCCACCTTTCCCCAGCCCTGCTCCACTACAGGTACCCTGTGTCTAGCTCCCTGCAGCCAGGCCCTTCGCTCCCTGAACGCAGAGAGAGACTACCAAGCTCCTGGCTCCCAGCCTCTTATATAGGGCCTGCTGAGGCTGTTTGGGGCGTGGCCCCAGCTGCAGCCACTTCCCCTGATCAGCTCAGCCTTCATGCTGCCTGCTCCCTGGGCTATCT